ATACACAAACTTTATTTCTATACTAATTTCAAGTAATTCCACCTTCTTATTCTCCGTCATACAAGCAAAACGGCCGATGGAGGACAGGCCTATCGCTCGTACCCGCTTCCCAACCCTTTCGCTGCCGACCGACATGTCTTGTGTTGGAGGAACGTTGGCAGTAGCCCCCCTTCTGCTCTGCCGCTCACCGGCGCTGGAGGCCTCAGACATCGTTATTTTCGCCTGCAATTCACGCACCCGAGGCGTCTTGATATTCTCGTTGATCTTCTTGCTGTCCGCGAGAAAAGGCCTCGGCAACCTGGCGGGTGAGATGGATTTCTGGGATGTGAATCGCAAGAAGGTCATGGGTTCCACTTCCAGCCACTGTGCGGTGGCCTACGGGTGGAGCCCGGACAGCCGCTGGTTCCTCACGGCAACGTGCGCCCCACGTATGAATGTGGACAACGATGTCAAGGTAGGCGCGCGTGGGGGAGGTGTACTCATAGTCGTGCATGCCGTAGTCGTAGACCTTTGGCCTCGTATCCCTACCAAGCCGGGACGGAGCACGCCGGTGGGGAGTGAGGTACTCTCTTTCATGTAAGCACATGCGGTAGTCGTTAGACGATGTGACCTCGCATCCCTACAATGCCTTTGACGGGGCGATATGCCGGGTTTTCGCCGGCTCAGGATACGTCTCACAAGCAATGAACCAGAAGCTGGTCGTCGTCCTTGCATTTGAGGAGGGGGGGACTGTAGTCACCTCTCTTGGGTGTCGTAGAAAAGACTTTGGGGCAAGCTGGCTGTGGGGGTTTAGCGTAGTATTGGCCTCGGGCCATGTGGGTGTCTCGTGGAATGGTACCACGGGCGATCTGGGCTTTGGCATAGCTCCCTTGTTTTTTTTTTTGTGGCTAGAGTCAGGAACGGGACGAGGTTAGTTTTGTGCAGCCCGGCGACGTTGTCTTGCATGGTCTGCGGTTCGCATGTTTGAGGTGGACTGGTGACGGGTGGTGAGGCAAGAGGAAACTGGATGTGTCAAGTTTTCTGTCCGCGAATGTCTAAATTACGGCGATGTGACTACTGTACGTCGACGGCAATGTCAACGGCTACGTCAACGACAACATCATTGTTGGCATGACTCCATCAAATCTCGAGGGAGGGAGAGAGGAGGGACGGGCAAGTGGGGTACTGCAATAGTACTCAGTACTTATTCGCCATAGAGAAGGATCGATTACTTTTAACAATATCCAATTTCCGTACAAAACATCATGCAGGTGTTCCGCTACGACGGTTCCGGTCCGGTAGCGAAGAAAGAGGTGGATGTCCTCTGGGATGCGGTCTGGCAGCCGGCCGCACAAGGGGTGTACCCGGATAGACCGGCTTCTCCCGGCCGTAAGGGTCCAACGGCAGCGGACGCCGCGGCTGGTGAGCAAAACAAACAACGAGTCGTATCTACGATTTTGATTTTGTGGAGGTGTTAATCGGAGTATGTGCGTTTGTACCACGTTTTGGTCGGACGGCCGAAAACACCTTATTTTTCTCCCAAGTTGTTTTGTGCTAGTGCACGTGGAGTTTGAGCGGTCGTAGCTGTCACTGAATGAACCATACCACTTGTTTCTTTGTGGAGAGATGCCGCAGGTCAAATTGTCGTTCACGTCGGGGTGTTTTGTTCAGGTCGAGGACCCACGTTTCAACCAGAGCACATTAATCAAGTACGAGCGATAGCTGTCACCGAAGGAACAACACTTCTTGTGGGATTTTGGTGAAGATATGGATGCGGCACATCTATTGTCATTCGTGTTTTATGCTCAGGGCGAGGACCCACGTTCGGGGAGAAGGCGGCTGTTTACCGCTCGCCGGGTTCTACGGGGTCACTGGCGGCCCTCATGAGGGCAGAGCGGGGTGTAGACAAGGCCGGGGCGGGCGGCAAGAAGGTGAGGTGCAATGCTTGATTGTCCTCCTAGATGGTGACCTTTGGTGGTCGTGGATGGTGTTTTTTTTGCGCTGTTTGCCCTCTTTCTCTGGCCCTATCTCTCGGTATTTGTCTCTTTCTCAGTTGAACTATCTTTCTGTACTTGTCTCTTTCTCAGTTGTACTATCTTTCGGTCCTTGTCTGTCTCTCCCTTTCTCTCTCTATCCCTCTCTCACTCGCTCTCTTGTGCAACGCGTTGTTGTCTGCCTTGTGCTTAGATCCTTCTACCTTCGGCGGTGTCTCGTGTCTGTTATCTCTTTTGACGACTCATCGATGTGCCTAATGGCCAACTCTTTGGCAGCTTGTACGATTCTTTTTTGTTTCGTTCCCTTCCACAACACAAAGAACATCGATAGAACCGTCTCCCGTCTCCCCCCCGACCGCTGTTATTGGATGTAGGAATTGCGATGTGTTCACGATTTGTATACCACCGCCTTTATCTGCACGCCATTAGCGCGATATGAATGCACCCCCGACCAATTGAATTCCGCCCATGCACACCAATGTCCGTGGCCGGTTCGCTCAACCTTGCCCAATATAAACAGACGTTTCGTAGTTTTGCTCCGCGATTGGTGCCATCTTCTCGTTCTGTATTCATGCACGCGGGGGCACACGACATGACAAGACACGAAAACGCCCGATCAAAACATAGGTCGGTCGCGTGGACGCGGCAAGGGCTAGCGGGACGTACATCCCGGGGATGGCACCACCGGAGGCGAACAAGCCTTCCAAGAATGCCAAGAAGCAGGTACCACGTGTTTGGGTGCACATGGCGTGGCGCAGGAAACAGAAGAAGCGTTTGAGATCGTTGCGGCAAGGGTAGAGATTTGCGGTTCTCCGTGGAGGTGACGGTTGAAATGGTCGTGTCTCCCACAACGCTCGTCGAGGATGGTCCCCTCTGTTCACGTGTCGTGCTCTAAGAAGACTTATGGTGGCATTTGTTTCGCCTTCGGAAGTCGATTCCAGTTTATTTTGCCGTGACGTTGTGGGTGTATGGAGGATCACGGATGAAGGCCACGGCCGCACCATCAGATGTAGATACTAGGACACTGTCTCCAACGAAACCGATAGAAGAAATGTATTTTGATCTTGTTTTGCCTCGGTGGCAGTCTGGAATTCGGCCAGGCGGCGTCTCGCTGCCGCGTCTATTTAGCTCAAAATGCACATAATGCAGCAGCAAATGCACGTAGTGCAGCAGCAACGCAACATGGTGCCGGTACATCTACCCCGCTGACGGAAGTGTACCCCCCCGCCCCCGCCCCCCCTTGCCTCTTTTGCTCGGCTGCGTGTACCAGGAAGCGAAGAAGCGCGCGAAGGAGAAGGCGGAAGCGCAAAAGCAAGTAGAAGCCATCCTCGCGGCTGCCGCCGGGGGTGACGCGGACGGGGGGGAGAGAGGGGATGGGGGCGGGGAGGCGGTTGCAGCGGCGGCGGTAGACCCGGCGAAGCGAGCGAAGGCGTTGTCGAAGAAGCTCAAGAAGCTGGAGACTGTCAAGGCTAAAAAGGAGGCGGGGGAGGCCATCAACGCGGTAGGTTGATTTGGGCTGTGCTTTTTTTATTCTGTGGGTATGTAGGCGAGTGCTGTAAAAAACTTAGGGGTTACTAGCAGCGTTTGAGAAACCGTTATCGAGAACCGCAATTTTGCGTTTCTCTGGGGAGGTACCAACGTCTGTCAAGGTGTGTGATGGATTACGCAAGTTTGCCTTGTTGTGCTCCATTTTTTATAGTTTGACTCACCTCCTCGCGAGTGCAGACATCCTTGTGTCGCCAACAACAGAATAGACACAGGAACTCACAGATTCACTGCTGCCGCAATATCACGCATTAGTTTTTCAAGCATGTTGTCGCACATACCATATTCAAAGATGTGGAGTAGAAGTGTAAGGCCCAACCTAATCGGCTGAATGGACTACGGGACAGAGCAGGAGTCCTCGTCCAAACCACCACTTGAAAAGGAAAATTAATGATCCACGGTGTAGAGACTGAGCGAACCCTGATTGAGGCATAGTGGCATGTTACTCGTCCTTCCGTCTGCACATGCGTTCATTGATGGTGGCCACCCGCCTTTTGGCCCTCGCCCGGTCCCTCGACAAGGGCCTCTCGTTTGTGACAACTTGCCGAGGACAGAGGTGTAATCTGATTCCCCTGTTGGTGGTTGTTGTTGCGCTTGGAGCGATTTTGGCCAATCGTTATCCTTAGCTGCATGTTGTCCCTCGAACCGTCCGCTGCTTGTTGTCGTTGCTGTTGTTGTCTGTATCTGCTTGCTGTCATCATAATGGCAGGATCAAAGCGCTCTGTTGGATTCGGAGGCGGGGCTTCGGCAAGAGCTTGCATCGCTGCAGCTGTGATTGTTCGCGCCTACATTGTAGCTACATGCGCGATCGACGACACCATCACCTCCTTCGTAGATGATCCGAGAGCCGGGTGTGTTTTCCGAAGAGAGAAGATCGAAAAAAAACCCTTCTTTCATCTTCCGGAACGCGTGTCTCGGCATCACTCGCCAACTGCGGCATCACTCGCCAACGACGAACCCCATCCTGCTTCCGGGAACACTTCTTTGCGTGCAGCAGTAGGTTATTTTTCCCACATGTTGTTGTGTCTCCCGAGGCCTCAACGCCCATGTTGTTTCTGACCTTGGGAGAGGCTTGCCGTGAAGAGAGGCGGATGGCGTTCGTTGAGTTCTCACGACGACGAGGCAGACACGATTTTCGAACGATTTTATACGCGGCAAAGTATTACCGGGTAGCCTGCGGATTGACCTCATTTGCTACCGCCCGTGCAGGTATCATTTGCGTGGTTGGTGTACTGTGCAAAGGTGGGGTTTACTTGATAAAGGCACTCGTGGTCCCGTTCGTTGCCGTCATGTTGTGTCCTGGTTGGGGATAAGGTTCAGGAGGGTACATTCTGACCTGACGCCCGAGAATGCACATGTTGTCCCCCCTTTTTTTGCCTCGTGCTGTCATCGTAGAAGAAAATATGCTGGCGCTGCAATCCTGGGATTTGACGAGGCGTGTGCTCCCCAGTAGAACGATCAAGGGTGTGGGGGCAAAGCAAAGATGAGGATTGTCTTCGCATTGTTGAACGAAACACATCTTCCTTCCAGTCGAACAACCATGCATACTACAGACGTAATAAACTCGTACAGCAGTAGAGCTTTCAACGTATCGTCTTTCACCACATGTATGGGCAGTTCTCTTATTTCTCTTGGGGGATGTTGAAACTGTTAAGTCCCATGTACAGTTGCAAACACTAAACACCGGTCGCCCCGGTGGGCTAGTGAGTAGCTTCGCAGTCTGCTAAGGGGCAGGTCATGGGTCCCGGCAGAGTGAGTTTTTTTCTCACTAAATAAATCCTGGTCTATGCGGAAAAGAGGGTTTCGTCCTCGACAGACGTTGTGGAGTTTCAACCTTAATGAAGGTGGTCTCCACATTACCCCCCCGCTTTTCGAGGCTTCTTCTTGTTTGCTAGGCAAGAGAAGTCTTCTTCGGGTAACCGGAACCCGACCGGCCGGCGGCGAGTAGAACCACCTTTTTTACAACAATCTTCTGTGCGTGTGTGCGGGTGCGCCACTTCCGCCACGCATTGCCAGAAGTTTCGAGTTCGATAGACAGCAGTGCATCGTTTTTTGGCCCACCCACCGTTTTGCTTTTTTCCGTACTCCGGAAGAAAATTAGGTGAGCAGCGGGTTTTGAACCCATCCATGTATTTTGCAACCAAATGCAGACACGCTGACATCTCTTCGTCGACGCCATTGTGGAAAAGAGGGTTTCGTCCTCGACAGGCGTTGGGGAGTTTCAACCTTTATGAAGGTGGTCTCCACATCTAGGATGAAAGCGACGCGCTGCAAAGCTCGTTTGTTAGTAAACCATAATCGACTTCGTGAGTCGCGAGGGAAGGGATTGCTGTATCATTCTCGCGATAAAAATACCTCAGGCAGGAACCGCAGGAGGGGGTCCAGCCCCCCCCTCCTATGTGACCCCGGTTGGGTCGTCTAGCTGGTAGAAGTGAAGGATAGGGGGCCAGAGGGGCAGACGACAGAGTCCAATGATGGGAGAAAATCAAACAACACTACACGTACGCGTTGTTTCGCCGGCAGCGTGACGCCTACAATATTCAGCGCGACACCCCCAGACACCGCCCTCACACCCCACGGAATACCGGGTACTTTGCCCGTTCAACACGAGACCCAACGCGTAAATCGTCTCAGATCAAGTCACCGAAGATGCCTGCACACCCCAACAGAACGGCACCCCTGCTGTGAAAACGTGTTTTCCTGTATTGGAGTAGTTTTTGAACGCCACAAATGATATCACGGGGGGGGTTGTTATCTTGCGTGGAGTGCGGAAATACAGTAGCGGGGCAGGTGTTTTTGGGGTCAGGGTACGAACAAACAGCGCTCGAGTATTCTGGCGCCACATCCACTTGACCTAATCCAAAGGTAAATGGCCTTGTTGCGACGTACATACTGCAGGTATATCGACACGCAGCGCGCAGAACTCCTCTGAGACAACCTGTGCCAATGGGGTTTCTGGACATGCGCAGGCGTTGCACCAAAAGATCGACCCAGTCGGCGGCCGTTGGGAAGAAGCGCAAGATCCATCTGCCTCTCTCTGCTCTCGTGGTGATGACGAAGCGTTAGAAGAGCGCAGAACCATGCAGTTACCGCAGCATGATATTTGCCAACACGTCTTTGCCACAACGGTGCTGATCCTTTCGGCAATCGCTCGTCATGGGGCGCTCCAGTCAACATCAGTCGGAACCATCTTGTTGCTGGGTACCACCGCGGCAGTAGAGACAGCAGCAGGGTTGGCGCCCACAGGACACGGTGGCGGGGATCCAGGAATAGGTCCATGGGCTGCTGCAAGCGACAGAGACAGAGACGAGCCCAAGAGAGCGGGTTTCGATGATGTTGGGTACGCGGAGATATTGGCACGCGTTCCAGAACGAGACCTTCCTGCGTACCAGGCGCTATATCGCGCCGTTGAGTTCCATGTGAGACAATAGTGACTCCGCATACGCGACGAAGGCACGGCATGTTCCTGGGCTTGCACGTCTTGATAACACGTAGTATTGCACCAACTTTGTCCACGCAGCACTCTGGTTTCGTGTATTGGCGTGAGCGGTCCAATGCACTTTTGTGCCGGCATGTCTCGCTGCATCGTACATAGCAGTACACCAGACTGGATATGCCGATATGCCTTGTAGCCCACGCTGCATGCGCATCAAAGCATATGGTACCTGTCAACCAAACGTTCTTCCGCTACCTGTTTATCTGATACTTTCTCCGTTATCAAAACTGAAGGATCGTGGAGAAATCGACGCGGCGATCTCCCAATATCGTGTGGCAATAAACATAACGAACGACCTGGCATCCGCGTGGTTGAACTTGGGGCTGGCCCTCGCCATGCTCGACCGTGAGGATGAAGCCATTGACGCCTACAAGGTACTGTTTGGCCGCCGAGTGTGTTGAAGAAGGCATGTGTACGGGCTTTGGTAGGATCCTCACATACGACTCCAGTACCCTCTCACGTGTGTGCCTTATACCCTACGATGGTTGTTTGTATCTCGCGATTCTACGGTACACACACGCACCATCACAGTGAGTGGGAGGGTTCATTAGGATAAACAACCAGTGCTTCATCGACACATAGCAAGCACAGTGCTGCGCTTGTTTACCACAAAAACCAAGTACTCAGTCACACACTAGGCCACGGCCTGACCAAACACCCAAGCGTATATGCACCCTCTTTACACAGCCATGGTCTGCGGGCCTTGTGCGCAGCGAAAGCCACGGTCCACGTGCACCGTCATGATGAAGGTTACATTGATTGATTGGCGATAACAAGGGTGAATAGTTATCTTGGTTGAATGGACGCAGGTGGGACGTATTGCGAACCAGAAATGTGTTTCCGCACTCCCGAGATGTCAGGACGAAGTTGGGCTGTCGGCGTTGAGACGAGAGCGATAATACCCAATTGCTGCCTGCCTTTCTTTGCAATATGTACAGCATGGTCGTGTCGTGGTTCGCGATGGCCCACCGACAGGCAAACTAAAAAACCCGAAGCCGGCAGTTTTCTATTCACCACTCTGCCCGGAATTTTTGTGTCAGCAAACAACATTCACCTGACGATTCGATGGAAATATGTCTCTCACCAATCGATCAACGCCTGGGAGGTGACTGACATGGATCCATCCCTCCATTGGGCACAACGCCTTAACCCCCCCAACGCCCCCATGCTTGGGACATCCATGTCGACCCAGGTTGTTATCAAGCTACCACACGCGTTGCCCATTGAGGTGGCTTCGGCGTACTGCAACCACGGGCACTTGGTGCAAACGCGCGCAGGAGAAGACTATGCCCTACTCGCAGAAGGGATTTCACTGTTCCAAAGGTACGTTTATCGCATACATACGTATGATTCTCTCTGCTTGAGTCAACTAATCGTTGTTGTCGCCCAACCGTAAAAACTTGTGCATTCAGAGACAATCTGCAATCGGGCTAGGAGTTTTCTCGATTTCTCAAGAGCGTGGTGCTTGATTGAGCGGCCCACTACCGACACACCGGACAACATTCCTGTATTGATTTCTTAGACATCGCATGACAATTCAAGCATGTAGGCTTTTGCGTTCTACATCAGCACTAATTCAAACTTGCTTGCACCATCACAATGAGGTGTGCACCAAAGATATCAACCCTTGAAACACCATCTGGATTTGTTCCTTCGTCGTGTGCAGGGGTCTTGAGAGGGTACCGGACCACTCAACCTGCTTGTATAACTTCGGGCTTGGAATGGAAAAGGTGAGGAACGTGGATGGGAGATATCCGGGAGGGGCGTCCCGTTCCTGAAGATGTATGCATATGACCACCGGGTTTTTAATGTGACAGCATGCTTCGATTCTTCGAAATCAACTTCATTGATATTTCTGTAAATGGCGATTCCCTAGTCGTTCATGCATGTACAGCAGTACCCGGTCGCCCCGGTGGTCTAGTGGGTAGCCTCGCAGCCTGCTAAGGGCCAGGTCATGGGTTCGAGTCCCGACATAGTGAGTTTTTTCTCGCTAATAAAATCCTGGTCTCCGTTGGATGCCACGCGCTGCAAAGCTCGTTGTTAGTAAACTTGATCGACTTCATCAGTCGCGAGGGAAGGGATTGCTGTACCCTTCTCGCGATAAAAATACCTCAGGCAGGAACCGTAGGAGGGGGTCCGACCCCCCCCTCCTATGTGACCCCGGTTGGGTCGTCTAGCTGGTAGAAGTGGAGGATAGGGACCAGAAGGGCAGACGACAGAGTCCAACGGTGGGAGACAAAAAAAAAGTAGTGTAGTATCGACGATCGACAGCCTTCTTACGACGACGATAACAACAACAACAACAACAACAACAACAACAACAACAACAACAACAACAACAACAACAACAACAACAACAACAACAACAACAACAACACCACCTGATTACATAGATAGTCGTGCGCATTCTCAATTGAGCACTCACGTTCCACGAACTACAGCTCGGCCGATACCCGGAAGCGAAAAACTTGTACACCCGAGCCGTGGGTTTGGACCCCTCCATGGGAAACGCCCACCTAAATCTAGGAAATATCGCCTTCCGGCAGGCCAACTGGACGGAAGGCATACTTTGCTATGAAAGGTGGGCACGTGTTTTGGCGTCTCTGCTGTTACACTTCTTGATAAAGTGATAAACGGTGTACGACGCTTGTCCCTACAGAGAGACTACCAGATTTCGTCAAGATCACACCATCTCCTGCTTCGTGGCGTACGACTTGCCTCGCGTGCCTCCATTTGTGCTATTGCTTGTGACGTCGGTCAGATAATATGTCACGTATTGCATCACTTCGTGGTGCTCTGTTGCGATCTATTCCTTCGCATGACGACGCTGTGTGATTTGCTGGATGGTTGCTGTTGGTGCTGATGTTGGTTCTGGTATAGGTGTGGGTCATGGTTAGTGAAGGATGGACTTGCGATGATCGTTGTAGTCCTGCTCATGTTTGTGGTTGTTGCCAACTTCATCACCGGTCATTGGACAGCATCACCCCCACATGTTGTTATTTTTGTTGTTGTTGTCGTTCTCGTTGTTACTACTTGTGCTACTGAACGGGACATACGGCTCAACAGAGCGCACCAGAGCCCGGACGCAGACCAGCGACTGCTCACGGTTAGCAGCTTCATGCTCGGACAGGTATGAAGCCGGCCGTCAACGCCAATTTTGTGTGCTCCTTCATCCCATGCGGCTTGCTTGCTTGATAAGCATTTCTCAAACAATCGAATCGCGATGAATGCCAACAATACACTCGTGCAGTCGAAGACATGGTTGATTTCCGCGAAGGACAGGCGCGCAACAACTGCAACCAAGGAGTCGGGCTACTCATCTGTCTGTAGCACTGTAGCGCACGTCCCCGGCTGGATGTAGACTAAGGTAAACGAGGGCGGAGTCGCGAATACAGGACATTTCGCGGTGAACGTCTCCGGCGCTTTTCCTGCACGTTCAGGGCGCATCTGTTGACCCACCAAAAGCAGAGGCGGTAGTCGCATCCCCACCTTGGCGGTGATCTTGGGGAAGAGCACAACAGGACACAAGCTCTTCTTGTAGATGTCGGGCACACCATCAGCGCGGTTTCTGAGAAAATAACACAGAGGCACCCCTTCCTACCGATAGACGTGGCAGAATCAGCATTGATTGTACTAACCCCGGTTTGGTCCCTAACCCCGAATGACGGGCTTTTTGGACCCGAACATTGGCGAATCAAGC